ATCAATATTAGCGTACATTTTTGGCAACAGAATTACAAAACATATTTTTTAAGCATCATAATTTAGTCATTGAATCAACATGAAACTGCGGTGGCCAAACGCCGACGACAAAACATCCTAGACCCTCATCAAGGGTCACAATGTATTTCCATTTATTTCTTGCTAAATAGTTTTCATAGAAGATTCTACAAATTGTTATGCTTTGAGACACATGGCTTGGCGAAAGCTGGTGAACACTGTATTCTTTCGCCTTTTTAAGTTGTAAATTTTGGTTTATTATTTCATTTCCCTTTGTTGCAAATGTATTTAAAAATCGATTTCTGCGTTGATGAATTTTCTCTTGTTAAATAATGATTTAGTTTTAGAAAACATTAAAAACAGTACTTACCTTTCTCGGATATTCCTGTGGAGTCTTCTTTGCATGTATTAAAAGTAATGATTGCTGATTTTTCCGTTTCCAATTAATAATGCTGCTTATTTTGTACTTCAAAAATTTAATACCATCCATTTTACAATGTTTTTGAACTATGGAATAAGAATATTTCCCTTTGGAAAGCGCAAAAACGTATCCTTCAATTCGCAGATCATTTACATGTGACAATTTGGAAAAAAAATTAAAAGTAGCATATTACACTGGTGTGCAAAAATTAAGGACGAAGTCGAAAAATTAGCATATCAGCTGAACGAAGAGGCAGAGCGGACAGAAAGACCAATCAGGAGATTAAGTAAGGTGATGTACGGTAGCACATGCGCAGATATGCAGGTAGGACGTAATGGGGGGGAGTGTTTGAGTAGTAGTATAAAGCATGTTGTCGTGTAAGTAAGATCAGTATTTCTCGCAAAGACATTGCACGCCGTATATAGCAGTTTTAAATCACACCGAGTTGCTGCCTCAGCGAGAAATGGCGAATAATCAATCTGTTAGACGACATCTGGATGCTTTTAGCCGAGGTCGAATCATTGGGAAGTTGGAGGAAGGCCGCAGTGTGACAAGTGTGGCTGCAGAGTTCGGAATTGCTCACAGCATCGTTTCACGACTTTGGAGACAATTTCAAACTACAGGAACAGCTATCCGGGGGTTTAGTAGTGGTCGTCCACGAGGAACCACACCAGCAGATGACCGGTATATTGCCTTACAGGCGGCAGACAGCGGGAGAAATCGCTAGACACACGACACAGGCGACTGGACGACCGATATCGCGTTTTACCGTGGCCAGAAGGCTGCACGGTAGTGGTGTTTGCACGACACCCTGTACGGTGTGTACCTCTAACGCCTGCCCATCGGAGAAGGCGTTCTCTCTGTGGTGCCGGGGAACACCGGAATTGGAGAGACAATGAATGGGGACGAGTACTCTTTACAGATGAGAGCAGATTCAGTCTGTATAGCGATTCTCATCGCATACTCATCTGGAGAGCGGGGAAGCCGCAATCATCCCTCGAACATCATTTAAAAGGGAACAGGTATGGAGGTGGCGGGTGTTCTCGTTTGGGGAGGCATCATGCTTGGTAGTCGTAAAGACCTTCACATTTTCGACGGCTGGTCAGTCAACGGGATCCGTTATTGTAACGAGATTCTCTTCCATATTGTGCGTCTTTTTAGAGGCGCTATGGGTTCACAGTTCCTTTTCATGGACGACAAATGCACCATGTCATCGCACAGTAGCTGCCGAACAGCTCTTAGAGAGTGAGGGGTATTGAACGTATGGATTGGCCGACACGATCTCCGGATCTCAATCCCATCGAGCATGTATGGATTTTCTAGGCAGACGCTTGGCATTCGTACCTCACCACCAGTAATGATTCCGGAGCTTCGATTGGCGCTGCCAAGACGAATGGGAGCAATGCCTCACAACTCATTGACCCCTCATTCTCAGCATGGGCAGACGCTGTGAAACCAGCCTAGCAGTCAGGGGAGATCATATCCCCTATTAAAGACCGGATGTTTCTTGCTGGGCACCCATCACAGGGATGTTTCGGCCTTCAGTCGCATTGCGCTCCATGCTAATTTTTCAATAAAGTTTAAGTTTCTTTTTATCCCTCTGATTTCTCTTTTAGTAAGTGTTGCTTACATTACTCATGTCCTTATGTATTGGGGATCTTACTGTATTAAATGTGTTGATTTGGAAAGCTTTTGTACAAAGTTATATTGAAAAAACCGACTCGTCCTTAATTTTTGCACACCAGTGTATATTTCTCATTTTAAAAAGCTATTACGAGAAATCTTCATTCCAAACCATATAAGGTATCTCCCCCGCCTTCTTAGCGAGCCTTCGTGGTGTAGTGGTCCGCACGCTGATCGCGTAATTGAGAGGTCCGCGGTTCGATTCCCGGTAAAGGCGTAGCAAATTTTTCATCTTGCTTTCAAAAATACCTAATGTCTTTACAAGCATTTGCTTTTTTTTTTTTTAATTCTTTATGGAAAGCGTTCTAAAATGTGTAAATATCCTCTATAGTTTTAAGCTGTTATCGTGTTACTAAACATTTGTATAAGATTTAGAATATGCGTGAAAGTTAAATAAGAAAATATAGTAGCTATTTATGTTTCGTGTTCAAGAAATAAATGCTTTTTGAGTCAAAACGACAAATCTGAACGGCTTGCCAAATCGAATGTCGAAATATATTTTTAGCAACAGCTGCATATATTATTTTTTGCATATTATCATATTTAATGGTAGAAAGTAAGAAATTCAGTAATTTGAGAAACATTGCATTCGATTGTAATATTCATAGCATATATTTGTTACATTCGTATTTGTATTATTTGTGACTGAGTAATCCGATTAATATAGCACCAGTATCTAACAAATGTAATAAAGAAAGAGCATTCGCCATTAAAACCGCAAAAGTGTCGTTTGACGTATGCGAATAAAAATGGATATCGATTACGAAAATAATGTTAAAATATCGCCTGAAGTAAAAAAAAAAAAAAAAAAAAAAAAAAAAAAAAAAAAAAAAAAAAAAAAAAAAAAAAAAAAAAAAAAAAAAAAAAACAAAAAAAAAAAAAAAAAAAAAAAAAAAAAAAAAATAAAAAAAAAAAAAAAAAAAAAAAAAAAAAAAAAAAAAAAAAAAAAAAAAAAAAAACAAAAAAAAAAAAAAAAAAAAAAAAAAAAAAAAAAAAAAAAAAAAAAAAAAAAAAAAAAAAAAAAAAAAAAAAAAAAAAAAAAAAAAAAAAAAAAAAAAAAGGTAATTTCCATAGTGGGAAATAATGGATCGTTTAAAACATTAAGTGGCATTTAAAGCTATTTTAATGACAATGAACAATGACATGGACAGAAACATATACATAGAATAAATAAGTCTGCTGTTCTGGCATACGTCGCAAGGAGAGCTTAACATTAAAGTAATCGTAAGTAAGATTCCGCTGTTTACTTTCTTTTATGATTTAACAGTTTTAATATCCAGTAATGTACTTGTGGGGAAAAAATAAAAATTCCTAAAAAACTTTGCTTTTGTAAATGTATTTGTGTATGTAAGTATTAGCTTTTTATGCTTATTTGCTTTTGTAATATCTTTAAAAAAATATTATATGACTCAACACTTTCACTGCAGTCTGTATAACAATGGTGTCATTAAATCTGTTAGCATTAGAAACCATGACGAAAACTGATATTTCAGTTTCAGTTAAGTATAAGTGCAATTTCGCTTTTGAGTTTTTGTAAGACCCTTGAATGTGATCTCAAACTCTAAAATCAAATTGGTTTGGTTTATTTGATTATGGCAAAACACAATGGGTAAAACAAGGGGTACCTGCCTAAGAAGAGGGGTTCGCCAGTGAAGGACTTTCTAAGGGAAACTGACTCGTACACACGTTACACAGGGGAAAAACCACGAAAATGCCCTGACAGCCAGCCCGTTGACTGCGATTCAAACTCTGGACCGAACTACCAGTGTTTACCGACTTTATCGATCGGCGCTACTGGTAGGCGTGGATTAAATATTATGCCGCAAGAGATTCAAACTTTTTTATATACAAATAATATAAACCTTTGCTAAATCTAAGTACAGAGATCGGGAAAATGTATAAAATTTCGATTTCGTAATTTTCTCAAAATTGACTTAGTAAAATATAAAGATGTCGAAACATGAATATTTGCCTCATTTAAAACAGCAACAGGAAACAAATGTTTAAAACCAGGAAGTGTATTTTTACAGCCAACAATTGCGATAATAAAGGCAGAAAATACTTTTATTGACACTATATAATGTATATTATGAAAGGGCTTTTCCGATTCTGATTCGCTAACGATATGTTAGCTTCTGTGCGAAATTCCTGAATGCACAGTGAAACCTAATTTACAGGGATCCTTGTGTACTTTTAGAAGATGGTATAAAAGGCCAGGTTGAATATGTAGTTCTAATCATTACAGCAAAAATAAAATAAAAAAAAAAAAATTGCAGTTTCATAGCGGTTAAAATTAGTTACTTAAAATATATTAGGATGTGCAGGCATTATCTGCATGAATAGAAATACTCCATGTTATGTATTGTACTTAATATTAACAAACTTGGTTCATTTCGATTTAGCAAAGGACTGTATACAATATTTCATAAAACTAGCTAGAATAGTCATATTTTATTTACATAAATAGCTGTTTAACATACATTTTACTATCATGTAAGACCAAGTAACCTTCCGAAAATCGGCTCCCTTTTAATGTGAATTTTGCTAATTTTAAAAATTTTAAAACATGTTTAGATCTGAAACATTCAAACTAATATCATAAGATAATAAGATGTTTTGCCACATCCACCATATAGCCCTGGCATCGCTGTGTGCATGTAACAGTCGAAACTTATGTGTAACGCATGAAATATTTTAAGGTTATACATTTAAATTAAATTATTTGCATAATTTACCATAAAATATTTCATGTATTACAATCATGAAATTAATTTAAAGTCCCGAGTTTCTGGTGTTACATGCATATAGTTAGTGTCTAGTGAATATCTCATCTACAATACGTTTTGAGTACGGAATGAAAGGATAATTTGTCTTCTAGGTACTGGATAAGAGAGAGTGGAAGATTTTCAAGAAAGAATGGCGATCCTTCCAGAAAGACAGCAAGCAAAAGAAGAGATTAAGGAAATGCTGGAGAAATCTGCCTCGTTTCTGCGATGAGAATGACAACCAGAAGATTACGATGGACGAGTGGTTAGCCTGCACGAGTATAACACGAGGTCAGTTTCATGAATGTGTTACCTTTAAAAATAAAGAAGTGTTTTTCGTTTCCTTTTTTATGGATTACAGGAAATAATATAATAGAAGACGAAAAATCCGTAATATCTAGAATTTAATGTTATGCGAATTTTAAGATTTTTGCAGATTTTAGGTCATAAAAGGAATATCATTAGATTTAGATTTACAAAATGAAGAACGAATAAAGATAAATTTGAAAAAAGTGCATTAAAAGCAATCAATTTCTTTTTGGTTTTTAATGGTTTAATACTCAAAAATGTTTCTCCTAATTTTTTAAATATCAGTGATGCTACAATAGTTATAAAAAATTATTTTGTGTGCTTTTAATCTTAATCGTAATCAACAGAATCAGTTCAGAATTTGCAATACTGCAGTTCTTAGCATGCTGAATTGATAATGACGATATTTGGTTGAGTTTTTCAATAGCTTCCATATTATTTATTAACAAAATATACTCTCTTTTATATTTACTTTAATAAATACATGTGAATTATTAATATTATAGATTTGAAAGGAAATATGATTATTCTTGTGGGAAATTTACCTTTTCGTTTTAATTTCAATTTTGTATTCCATTTTATTTTCACATTTTTTTAATTCCTACATTTCATTGAGAAATTTGCTATTAGATAACTATTGTCTCTTTGAAAAGTTAAGTTTTCCTCTGTGTTTTCGGAATAATCTTATATTCCTTATAAATTATAATTTTCAAATTTTAAAAAATTTTCAATGTAATATTTAATGGAGACATTTTAAGCCCAGGTTTTCCATGGTAGTAATGAACTTTCTCTAATCCATCCAGATAAGGATCCAGTTTTTGTCTCCGGATGATAAGCAAAGTACCAAGTTTCATAACAATTTGTTTGATAAATAAGCATTAACATCTGTTATTTGGATCAAATCATGTGATATAAAAATTCAATTTCCTTGCTATCCTGCTACCAGTGTATAAGGAACAAAAAGATAATATATTTGGGTACTTCTTTGTCATAGCAGTCCCCAACCATATTTGGTGATTTTAGATTTGCGCCAATAATTTTGCCATGTTCGTGAAGCGCGAAATTAAAAACAACACGATATATAATAATAACTATAATACTCACATGTCCTTTCCTATGAGTATTTTTAAGAATACTTATCCTTATTATTATTATTTTATCGCATGTGGTTGTTCCAGTTAACCGCAGCACTTTAGCACATATAAAGTTCTTTGTTACACCATTTCGCGGACCTTAACTCCTACCCAAGAGTACGTAAATCTACTAACAGTGACGAACGATATTCTGGAACCGCTGAAACACAATTTCCAACACGGAGGCCGTTCTTCTTTTTTGCAGTTTTTAACATTGCATCTCCAATTGGGTTCTTCGCTAACATAAAGTTTCATGTTCTGGCCATTTTCGCATATTCGTTTGTCAAGTAAAAGACCTCTTTATTACAGCTAAGTACCCAATTTTTTTTTTCAAAATTAACATTATATTTCTGTGAGCAATGTCTGCACTGATATTAAGGTAATAATCTGTCATTTGAATACGTAAGATGACGATTTTTTCAGCAACAATGTCGAAATGTTTCGATCTTGTTATCCTTTCGGGACTGCGAAGAGCTACCGCATCTCGATTCATCATCAGTATTTTAGCGCCACTCATCAAATCTTCCAACGGAAAACAGGGAGTTGTGTTAATACTTGATCCCCTTATGCTTTACATAAACATTTCAACTATCCCCGTCCCTGTTTTTCTCGCTATTGAAACAAAATTTTATTGTTATTGTTTGCTCAACTTTTGAATCCATCACAACAGATGTTCACTGGATTAAAGCTAACGATTAACTGTATAGGCATAATTTTAGGAAAAGCAAGTTGCAGCATCATAGTAATAAATGCTATCAGCTATCATTCGTCAGCTTTTCTGGAATTTATTTTAAAAAGATAATTCTAAAGCTTTGTGCATATCTAGAATCACAACAGATGTTCACTGGTTTAAAGACTGCTGAAAATTCTGTTCTAATTTTGCAAAAGCTCATTGGCTGTACTCATCAACACTAACAAAATTCATCGCTATTTTCATAATCAGAACACTTACAGAATCCGGGAAGTAATTTGAACCAGGACACTGCACTAAACTCTGATTTGGCCTGAACGATACGGTACGTTTGGTCATTTCAAACTACCGTAATAGCTTCCTGATCTTGGGTATTTGATACTTTCTAATCATTTTTTACTTTAATTACTAAATGGCTGCTTATTTTTAGTATTTAGAAAAAAGCTACTAACCAGTCTTTTTTTTTTTTTTTTTTTTTAAGTCCAAAGGGAAGTTCCTGAAGGACTATTGTTTTCGTTTTGCGATTTTGCGTCGGACTCATAAACGTCGGTTCACTTTTCAAACTGTTGCCACAAAATGTTAGAGTCCCTGCATATATTTGAAGAAATTAAATAATGAAAAATCTGCATAATGATTGTCTATTTCTCGCATTGTGATAAAACAATGGTACATAGAGCCATCGAATTTTGGAATGACGAAATCCTACTGCGAATATGGGCATCTAAAATCCCAAATTTGGAATTTGTTTTATTATAGATTTTATATTTTGTAAACTTTTAACGAATTTTGATTTACAAACTCAATGCTTTAAAAGCGAGAAATGGCAACGTTATATAGAAAAAAAATACTTTTATCTCCAGCTCACGAGACTGTGTATATCGGAAATCTAAAGATATGCTTAATTTAACATTATTTTGCGATATTGCTCTTGAACTGAATTTATGGTTTAAGTGCAAAGAACTGATTTTAATAAATAAGGTAACACTCAAAACGTTTAAAAAACGCCCCTTTGGACGTAATTTAAAATCTGAAAGTTTTTTTTTTTTTTTTTTTTTTTATATATATATATATATATATATATATATATTATGTGTGTGTAAACTTTCGCTAAAAATTCACTTTGATTTGTTTGCAGTTAGCAATAATTAAAATGAATGTCTTTTCTACAACCGAGGATTTTTCTTTTATTAATTTAATCTTATAAACTGAATTTTTATTTATTCAAAATATATTTCTATAATTGAATTTTTAATATGTACGCTGTAAGTTTATCAGAACATAATTTAAAGTCTCTTAATTATTCACTCAAAATTAATATCAATCGACTCATTTTGAAGTCTTAAATTCTTTTTAGCATATGTGAACAAGCATTTTAAGACTGTCTATTTTTCAGATTCCAAAGGCGTCCTTCCACGAAACCAACAACGGCGTGGCAAAAATCCCTTCAGTACTATCCTGAAAAGTGATTAAGGCTCGCTTCCTCTTCATCTGTTTAAGCAAGAGAGAATGCCCGCTGCTGCTGAGAGAGACACTGCAAAAAATGTTTCTCTGCTTTGAATATACGTGAAAGTCTCAAACAATACAAGTCATATTATCGCCCAGTGTTTGTATTTAAAAGTTCCGTTCTACCGACCTCTAAACGTCGTATTAATAACTAGTATTATTTATTTAACTTTTCGTATGTTTGGTGTTCTTCAAAAATACAGTCAGTGTAGCATGCAAAGCGTACAATTACCAGCTGTTACAGTGCATCCCCTACATGTATGGATTATCATCAGATGTCGAGCAGAAAAAGTTATCTCGAGTTTATGATTATTTGGTATTCACTCTCTGGAACACTTGTCTGAAGGTATCTTCACATAACCTTTGATTATGGAATGTTCAGGTTCATTTACTGTAAAATGCGTAAGATTTTCTGTTAGAGCTAGATACCGCTTAAAAAACTGAAATACTGAATTTTGGAGGCATTCACGAATCAATAAGAAACTTAAGTGGTAGCTGTGAAAAACATATTGTTGAAGGAAAAAAGTAGAAACTAAATAATAATATATATCATTTTTATGGCGAGAGAATTTCTTTAGTTGTTAATTACTATAATTGGTCAATTATATTGTGGAAAAATGAAGAAGTTTACTTGAAACACAGAAGCAAAATAACCTTTACAGATATCAGAGCAAAAACTGTGTAAACTACGTCCGAATACGTACTAAAGTAAATATTTTAATAACACGTACAAGAAATCTATATAAATTTTACAAAAATATGTAATTTAATAAATATTCTGGAAGATTCAGCACATCCAAAACATTGTAATTTCGACAGAAGGAAGATCCTAATTAATTGGTAAAGGAGACTTCTGACTGACAGATTGTGCTTTTCAGTACAGGATTTAAGCCTTTATGCATTAGAAATCTTCTTTTATACTGCTACATCAAAATGCTTTTATTACTACTGAATTAAATCAATATCATATTTTGAACATGATTGCTCTTCTGTTTAATAATGCTTCATGCTACTGTTCAACATATTCTCAAATGTCGTGAATAAACTTAGGTCAAAATGTTTATTATTATTAAAAATGACTATTCATATATTTCTGTAGCTCATCTTAAATTCAAGAAGGTAATTCATTCAAGAGAAATTAGAAGAAAGAGAAAATTAACTTATGAAGGTTAAGCCAAGAATTATTTAGAATTCTTAAGAATTTCATTCTTTAAAATTCATTATACTCTTTAAAATATGATTTAATTGAATATAACTAAGTAAGTATAACTGAATTTCTCAAGTTATTAGTCTCAAGTAACGATTTTGTAATGCAGTACATCCATGATCTAGTAGTAAAACAGAAGACTTCCCAGGGAAACCATGTTGAAAATTGTTTCGGAAAAGCGAAACATTTGATAGCTACCTAAGTAAGTCTGTTTTATATAGTTTGATGAATGATATCAAGTATTTGTCGAACAGGTGTTATGTAAAGAAGACGACCTCGGCATTTCTTTTTCGTTGATGAAAATGCTTCAGTCATCAGATATTACAAACAAAACAAGAATCAAATGATTTTCTGATATTTGTGACTCAGTGGGTGAAATTATTAACAAATGAACTTCCATTTTCTCGAGAAACTCGAACTGTATATTATCGCATCTGGTTGCAACTAGTCTATATTTCAGCCGCCATAATTTAATAATGTAATGTTTTTCTTCGCTGAACTTGTAAGCTGTCAAAAGATTTTTTTTTCTGGATGTAAAAATGATTTTCTTCAGAGAAAAGGAATGGCGAAATTATTAAATCAGGAATGAATATAATTTCCTTTAGATAGTATACTCAGAATATTTAACTGCTCTTTCCAGATACTTACCTAATATTACAATGATTTTTTTAAATCGAAAGAAAAACATTGTGGTTTTTCATAAAATCATCACTGAAAGCACTTAAAATTTGTTTTGTTGTTTGGTTTAATTACTCATGAAATACGAAAACATTAGTAACTTATTAGGGTATTTGTTCTTAATACCATTTTTCTAATTATTAATAATTGTTTGAATTCAATTTTAATTTCAAATTTATTAAAACAAAACATTTTGCATCATTATTTATATCAATATCCAGCATTTGATCATCGTGATTTTTGACACTGTGAATCATAATTAATTTTAAATATTGAGCAATAGAGGAATTTTATAATTTCGCCATTTCTTTTTATACATAATTTTCTTTTCTATTTAGAAATTATTCCTATGAATTGTTGTATTGTGTGTATTTTATATTATTGTAACTTAATTGTTGTGATTTGATATAATATGCTAGTTCCCTTTGTGTCAACTAAAAGCTGTGTTAATCCTGCTTCTTTTATTTTACTGTGCATTGTGCATGACTGTAGCTTATTTAGTTGAATGGAAAAAGGAAACTATGGATTTCCTGTTCAACAGAATGAATCTTCACATTTCATTTTCGTGTTATTCTTTAACATTTCAAGCTCATTATATTTTTTAACTATTATTTTCGAAAACAACTGGTATTATGCATCAGCACTTTAAAGGTAATAAAGATTATCAAAAATTAGATCAATATTCTTGCTAAGGAATAAAGCGTATACTTAATGTTGCAATTTCTCTAGTTAAATTCAAAAGTAGTCAAGCAAATAGCATGAAATTTTTTAAAAAGTTCATCTTTTTAGTTATGCTTTTTACTTAAAACGTAAAAATGAGATCTCTTTATATTCAGAGCTTTAGGAAAGCAAAGAATAAAAGAGAATACATTAAAATGTTTTAACTATTACAAAAATAGTAAAATCTTATATCCTCCTTAAATTAAATAATACTGCATTCTTGAATCCCCTAATACCAGGCTTTTCTATCTAATCTTCCTGAGCAAGTTTAAATCTTTTGGCAGAATGTTCAATAAGAGCCGTTCTTTTGAAGATTGTACAAGGCATTAACACGTGTATTTTGCTTATTTTCTTCTGATAAAATTATATGCTTGACTTAATATTTGCGAGATCATAATATTCATTCTAATGGTACAAACACGCCTCCGAATTCTAAATTCCCATTTTTTGATATAAAAATTCATTGTTTTTATTCCAAACTGATATTCATCTATTAGTGATATATATTTTGCAATCTGAAAAGGAACTTATTTTGGATAATTTAAGATTAAATACTTGATTTTTCTTTAAAGTACAAAGAATATCTTTAAAGTATTAAATATACTGTGAGGAGTATAATTTCTTTAAAGTATTAGTCTTATAATGATTAGCTACAAATAATTAAAGTGTTAGTACAAAATTTTTTCAGAGTTCAGCAAGTCAAATACTACGATCAGAATTTAAATTTTCATCTCTTCAGTACCACTTACTTAAGCAAAGAAATTGAATGCATCAAGATTATTTTTATTAATTTATATAAAGCTTGCTTTGACCTGTCTCATACACACAATCTACTGTCATAATGTTTAGAATATTTATTGTGAATGTTTTTCACAAAAGCTTGCCAAATGCGTAAACTAGTCCACAGCGCATCTGATTATATTGAGGGCTTTATTTAAAACGTTTGCTACTGTATGTCATCAAGTATGGCGTGCAATACTTTGGGAAGATTGTATGATTTCTTGTTCTTTCCAAGATTTTGCGTATCAGTCAAGAAAATATTACATTTATCAGTTGGTTATATAATCTTGTCTAGTGCATGGTTTAGGTAACGCCATTTCGCAAAGTCAGCCATGTGAAACATTTTCCCTGTTTTAATTTTATTTTTCTATTATTTGAACTAATTGATTTATCGTATAGTTAACTATACAGCGTAATTTTAGTATTTATTTTATAGGTTTTATTTTACCAAATTTCTTTTTAAAATTTCTTTTTAAAGTAGTGGAATTTATATTTTTCTGTAACAATTTTAACAAATAACCTTTAATTATTATTCTGTTTTTATTTTCAAAATATACTAGTACATTTTATTGATATTAATGGTCATATTATATTACACTGGCAATCTAAAACACATTTAATATAATATATTAAGTGTTCGATGCTTGAAATGAAAACAGTGTTTGTTATTAAATAATTATCATCTAATTGTTATGATTCTAAGACATTTTTCGCATATTTAAATATTTCGAAGAACATTTTGATGAAAAATTACGTTCCAAATTCTAAGAACGTTATACGTGTTACTATACCAAAATGAAATTATTATTGTTTAAATTAATTTCTCTCTTGAAAAATCATGCATTTTTAAAATGCAAGATTGAAGTAACAGTAAAACAAATGTAGTGCCATGTACAGGTTGTCGTAGTGCATCCGTGTGCAGATTTGAGATTCGAAATAAAGCTGAATTTGTGTGTAACTAATAGTTCTGTAATAAACATGCTTTTTTCCTTTTTTGTCATAAAGAGTGTATTTATTTATTTGGTACTTTTAACTTTATATTTAATCCACGTGGCATTTTGAAAATCATTGTTTTATTCAGTCTTAATTAACATCCCTTTGTCTGTAATAATATTAATTAATATTAGCATGATAGTCATTTAAGTGAAAAAGAGAAATGCGCAAATTTCACTCTCCCTCCACTGTCGGTTTTAGTGCGCCAAATTACATACATTTGCTCACCTTGTAGAGACATTAGGTATTTTTGAAAGCAGGCAAAATGAAAAATTAGCAACGCCTTCGTCGGGAATCGAACCTCGGACCTCTCATTTACGCGCTGAACTTGCAGACCACTACACCACGAAGGCTCGCTAAGAAGGCGGGAGAAATACCTTATATCCTTGTGGTTTAACATCTCTCATCGCTGAACACTTTTTAAGTTCTAAAATTTGTAAGGAACATTTAGAGTAAATTTCGGTTTTTGGTTATAGCAAATGATTAAATCTATTAGATAAACAAAATAAACATTTATTCCAGTAGTTATGTCATCTCTATTAAAAAAAATTTTCAGTTTTTAATTTTACAAAACATAGCACATAAACCTAAATAAATGAAGTAAATAATATAGCAAAAATAAAACATTTTTAATTTTCAATGATTCTGATATGTTCTGAGAGTTCGAAATGCAGCGTCAAATTGGTTTATATATTTGGATCTGGTTTCGTTGCAGCGTAATGTGAAGAATACTGCTTTGTACAAATATGTTGTTGTGAAAAGTGGTAAAATATGAGCAGCTGGTTTTAATAAGTTCGGATAATTTTTCTGACAAACTGTTCCAAAATTCGTTCAACGGTAATTCTTTAAATTTTTGTTTTATGCCAGAATCAACCGCGAATAAATTTATTTTACGAATTATCTGCGCTATCTGTCGGTTTAGCTATTGTCTTGAAAAAATTCCGAATCAAACAATTATCTTTCTATCACTATAAGGTATTTTTTGCCTCCTTCTAGCATACCTTCGTGGTGTAACGGTTAGCACACTCGGCGCGTTTTGGGGAGGTCCAGATTGTTCGAGTCCCGACGATGAGCAATCGAAAATGTTCTAATGACTCTACAGTGGTGCCCGAAATAAAAAGTGGTGGATGATGATTCTTCATAACCAGGTGATTTTCGTGATTGGGTCCCCTAATCCCCAGTCGCCCATTAAAAGAGAGAATGTATAAGGTATTTTCTCCCTCCTCCCAGCATGCCTTAGCACACTCGACGCGTTTTTCGGAAGGTCCGGGTTTGAGTCCCGTCAAAGGCATTGCTCATTTCTTCAGTTTTCTGACATCGAAAATGCTCTAATGCATCTACAGCACTGTAGATAATATTGACCAAAGGTTATCTGAAAGTAATGCAAATGTTGTAACATTTTATTCGTTACGTTAAAAACGGAAATGTTCCTTCCTTGTAAATAATAACATTCAGTTAAAAATATTTATTAAATAAGCGACACTCATCAACAATTGGCGAATTTCTTAATTGTCATACCTGTTTACCTTACCTGGCAACATGTTTACCTTTGCCTTTTCTCGTTGTAGACGAGGGGAAAAAAGTCACCACTTTCAAATAATTTTAACAAAGTGCGTAAACCACATTTGACATTATTATCGCTTATAACAAAAATGCCAAAATTCAAAAAGCGCCAATCTGTAAATTCATGTATTTCTAAGAAAATTTTGAATAAAAAACTAACTTTCTGCAGGTGTGCCTCGAACTACATCTACTTTAACATGATGTTAAAAATTTTATGTGTTATAAATACAAATGTTTTTGAACACTTATAAACCCTAGTATTAAAAACCCATTGGCAAATAAACTCGTAAAAAGTACGCATTATATTTGATAGTCCTAAATTCAATTTGGAAGAAAGAATCAGGTAAGTTTAATAAAAAAAAGGAGATATTAATAAATACGTATTAAATTCAATTAACATTGAGGAGCTATAATTTTGAGTGCTAATTTTTTAAAAATTACTCTTGCGAATTTTACAAAACTTGACAGTATGGCATAATTTGAATCGTAGAATCGAAATATGGGAAACAATTGTCATGTCATTTCAGAAAATATCCAATTTTGTGTCAAAATGCGTATATTAGAACAATGCTATATATAAATCTAATGCATATGATAAGTCGCGCATTTGAGACCTGAAAAACGCAAGCTGAATTTCGTCAATTCACCCAGTAGGGGAGCGGGAGATTTAGAAGTGTCCCTCTCTTTTTTCCCCCCGCAGTGTACATGCAATAACACATTTTACAGCTGGAAAAAAGGAAACTGAGAATTAAACCGCATATCTTTACTGTTTTCCTTATCAGTGTTTTATGAAAGTGTGCGTGTGAAACTAAACTGTGTGTTTCTAAGGGAAACTGGCTCGCGTACACGTTACACATGGGTAAAACCACGAAAACGCCCATGCAGCCAGCCCGTTCGCGGGATTAGAACCTCGAACCGAACTTCCAGTGTTCAGCGACTTTACCGCTCGGGCCGCTGGTGGGCCGTTTTATGAAAGTAAAATAAATAAAACATTTGAAATTAGTTTAAATTTCTAATAATAGAAGCATCCAAATGCTACTGCTCTTTTATGGTTTTGAATTAATAATTTTATTACAATGGAACTATTTTAATAAATGAATAAATAACTATTAATATGTCAGATTTTCCAAAATGATATGTAATCTTTTAACAATTTATGTTTGCGTTAGAAGTTGTCTTCAAGTGTTTCCTCAGTTAGAACAGTAGTTAGTGGAATCCGAGTAGAATTGGCTTCACGAGCATATCATCGCTTTTTTCTAGAAGAGAGGCAGTGATCTCGAATCCTACGTACTACGAATATCTCTTTCCAGTAACTTTATATACTAAGTACAAGGCAGTGGTGTAAAAAGTGGTATGCAAGGTATGCCGCAGCATGAGCGCCCGAAGCCTTTGTGGCCCCTTAAGTGTTCTGTCATGCTGAACTGCATTTATATGTTTAACCTTTAAACAAAAAAGGACTTCTAAAAATATGAATATAATACGATAAAAGACCCTTGTATATACAGAAAACAAACTATACTGGTGCGGTCAAGATCGCTTGTAATTCTCCAGAACCAAAGAACTTCAAAGGAGAACTGTAGGAAATTTTTTACTAGAATTCTCAGAACTTTTGTTCTGAAAGTGATTTCGTATTATTGCCACATATCAGATTTTCTCGTAAATAAAAAGAATATTTTAGCTTCAGTCAAGGACTGCTTATACTGATAATAAAATCTATTCGATATAACTAATAAGATATTGAACAAGCATTGTAAATTTATTTTTAACCTCTCGTATGACACAGAAAAGAAATTACATTTTAACGAATAATCGGCATAGTGAAAATTTATTTAGTACCTTCATCAACTGTGGATTTTTCATAAGAGTCATTGTAACGGAATATTCGTTTTTAACAAGTGTCGACAATACTGGCACGACCAGCATACTTGAGTTACAATGGCGATACATAGACATTCACATCCCAAATCACAGAAAAATTAAAGGCAATAGATAAAAACCAATTATTTTGCATAAACACTGCATGTTTTCCTAAAAATTGAAACGTCCTAGCCGGCTGTTTTTAAAAATATCGTATAACTGTGTTTATGCGAAATTTTAATAGCTTTTCATACATGAATAATTGTATGATGTGTATCAGTCCATATAAAAATATTACCTAGAAGTTTCTCAGAAAAGGGAAAGCCTTTTTGAAGCTTTTCATAAATATTCTTTCTTAAAAGATTTTTCTGTATACATTTGCATTAGAGATGATTTATGTATGCTTACGTCTAACAGAGCCTTGCCAACTGTTGGCCGAATAAGATACTTATTTAAGATAAGAAATGAGCGGAGGAGTAAAATCAAATTGCGAAAAATTAATGATTGATAAGGGAAAAAATGGGGGGGGGTAAACTGAAGCATAAGAAAGGATGCCATTTTCTGAAGCATAAGGAAGGATGCCATTTTCAAATTTCCCTTAGCTTAAAATATGTAAACATGATTCTGTTTCGAATGCCTTAAGAAAAAGGCGTTACTTTCTTTACACTTTAATTTTCGAAAAATTCCAAAAATTGAAGCATATTCTATGATTCTGCTATAGTAATTGACAGTGCGGCCATATGAATCGAACATATGACTTTCTAATAACGGGTTCAAAGCGCTTATCGTCAGCACAGATGTGTTTGCCGCAGCACATGAGAAATATGCATTAGTACCTTACAAATTCATAATCTTAAAAATGCTTTAACATTAGAATAAATTTCATTAATATTTTCTCATGCCATTTAAAACTGTGCAAATTCTAAACTAATATCAAAAGTCTAACATTTTTAATTGGTGAAAATTATTATAATAAATATTGCAAGACAGAAATGTAAATTTTGTGAGCGAAATAGAAATTTTTTGTTTCAATTCTATAAAATATTATTATAAGCATTCTTTCATCAGTTATTTTCAGACTTAAAAACAATATACAATAAAATTATTTAAAAGAAAAAATTAATTCTTAAAACAAGTTTCTCGGAGTTTCTTGGGAATTTCTCTACATAAACTTAATTAGTAGCCATATCCCTTCAGATAGATAAAATAAATTATTTCAGAACAGCCGAATAAGTTCCCATCCTAATAATCTTATTTGGGAATTTACGCATGTGCTTTTATGTCAAGTTAAAATCAAGTAGCTTAACTATTTAATAGTTTTACATTTTTCCCTGTGTAGTTTTTGACACATATATTTCGTTTTATTTTTGTTCGTATGGCTTTTAAGTGTACCAGAAAAATGCCTAAAGCGAACACTAAACATTAAATTCCAAAACTGCACAAAATTTTACTCTCTACTTTATGAACAAAACAAACAACAACAAAAAAGAAAAAACAGAAATTTAAATAAAAATCTATTATATATATAAAAAATTACAATGAAATAAGAAATATCCCTTAACACAAATATTAATAATCCTAATATATAAAT